GTACATCTGATAACCATAAAATGTTGAAATTAATGTTGTAAATTACAATGAAATAATTAAAGATATTTCAAAAATTAACAGGTCTTGTTTAAAATGATTTGCGGCTTCTCCGCTAAACACGCGATATTTAGCAAAGACATGTCGGCTTGGAATCAAAATAATGTGTCAAAATAGGTTGACATGTCTTCCTTTAAAAATGTAACATAAACTTGTGAACTATAAATTTAAAAATACGACTCTGCGTATCGATCTCAGATCCCATTAACACTTTCTTATCCTTATGTGTCAGTAACAGTTGTCACTGGGCATTAAACAACTATTCACCATCATAATCTACCAACACCAAAATGCAAAAATGAGTGTTGCCCATATCAATAAAAAGAGACATGGGTTGATGGAAATTGCAACAGAAACCTATCAATAAAAATAATCATAAAGACAAATAGATGCAAACATACAATCTTAAACAAAATACAGTTGTCTATGCTATATTCCAAGCTCTAAATCATTCTGTGTCTCTAAAAGTTGTTAATAAATTAGACAGAAACTATCAAAGGTCTACCATTCACACCAACATTTCCAAATAACATATATTGATACTGCCCATCTTGGCACATGCGTAAAGTAGTTTGTTTTTGATCTCAGACCTACCCTTTGTAATTTTAATCAGTGGACAAATAATAAAAAAAGAAAATATATAACATACAATAAAATGAGAACAAGCAAAGCATTTAACTCTACAATAATGGTATAATTTCTTCAAAAACGTAAGTTCATCAGATTTTGATAAATAAATACTTAATTCAATGTTATGGCTTAACAAAATATCATTCAAAAAGAAAAAAGAAATTCAATTTTAAACGGTTGAGGATTTAATATCATGAAACAGGTTTTTTGTGATTTAAAGATTCTTTTTCAACTTATGACATTATTACTTTTAAACATAAACATTATGTCACAACGTGGAATCTATGAAAATGTTCATTTCAGTTTCGGGTAATTTACCTTTCAGATGGACAATAGTTATTAAAATATAGGACATGTTGCTTTGGGTTTAGGTCAAGGTGTATTTAAAATATTTCATATGGACTTTCCACTCATTGATGGTTTGTCATATGACCTTGGCCTTTTATTGTTGAATACAGATCTGTATTGCGATGAAATGGGCAAACTAAGCTCGTGATATAGTTGATTAAACTTAAAAGAAGCCTTTGCAAGCGTTTCTGTGGATATCTTTAAAAATAAAACTGTCCACAGAGCTAAACACTTGTAAGTTTTAAATGATATACTTTTTAATATTTTTTTTTCGATATTTTTTAAATTGAATTTAGTATATAGATTATGCAGTCATTAAAAATAACTTTTTATTATACATATGTGGTGTTATTCAAACTAAGGTTTCAACTCCAAAAAGAAAACATTGCATTAAAATGTGTCTTTTCTTAGCATTTTCTGTTCATAGTTTTTGTTATAATTGAAAGTTCTAAAACTACCGGGTTTAGTAGACAAACACATGTGAAGGAGAGGCGAAATATACCAAAGGGACGTTCAAACATAGAAGTCGAAAACTGACAATGCCATGACAAAAAACGAAAAACGACAAAAACACAAAAAGACAAACAACAGTACACATAACACAACATGGAAAACTAAAGACTGCCCACAAAAAAATGGGGATTATCTCAGGTGCTCCGGAAGGGTAAGCAGATCCTGCCTTGTCAAATAGGTAATGACGAGAAATATGTCTGACATAAGTTAATCATAAATGTTTAAGATTTTTTCAAGTATATATTTTTTTGCTGCAATTAAAACTCTGCTTCCTTTTTTGCTATTTCACCCCTTTCTAGATAATTTTCTTTTCACAACAACATATAATCAATCTGAGAAGCTATTGTTTCTAAATTGGTCATTCTAATTTTCTTTACAACAAAAGACTTTTGTCTAACCTTTACTGTATATTCTAATGTAGATAAGATTAATTATTGTTTTAAGGGTTGATTAGAAAAATAATAGCACAAAATAATATAAACATCAATTTTACGTTTTTATCAAATAGTTCGTTTCTATGTATGTTGGCGTTTGTTTTTGTTGCACCTCAGTGTTTCTGTTGTTCCGTTGTTTTTCTTCATATAGATGATGTGTTTCCCTCGGTTTTAGTTTGTAACCCGGATTTGTTTTCTCTATCGATTTATGACTTTTGACAGCGGTATACTACTGTTGCCTTTATTAACGGCAACAGATGTTTAGTACTATTACACATGGAGATTGACTTTGATATTATTTTCACTAGCCGTTTTTGTTTGAGGGAAGTGGGAAGTATAAATATTATCAATCGATTAAATCTTGTGTCAATCAATTTTAAAAAAAATGTTTATTTATATATTTTATTCTCATCAGATATATAAACGAATCAAATTTTGATATATATTTTATATGATATCGTGAGAAACGTGAGAAACATTCTTGTGGTTCTGTCCAATCGGCTACTTCTGCTGCTCATTTGACAATTTACTGACAAGATAATTCTCACAATTATCTAAAATAGGATGTTCTCTTGTATATTTTTTATTCTTGATTTGTTAAATGAATGATCGAAAAGAATTCCTTTGAACATTTATTCAAACTGTATTTAGTGATATTCATTTATTTTAACCTAAACTTGTTTCATTCAGGATTTGGAGATTTTGTTGTATTTAGTTCTTCATCCAGAGAATTAAGAATAGTTTTTTTTCGAAACAGGTTTGTTTAATTATTTTCACATTTCTGCAATAATCAAAAGTTTCAACTTTTATGCGTATTAATGATATTTTAATTCATATGTCCAGTCTTTAAAAGAAGCAGCCCTTCAGATACGGTCGTCCTGAACATGCATTCAATATTTGTCACTGGACGTTAAGCAACCAACAATAAATCAATCAATCAATCAGATACAGAGCTCTTATATAGTAAGACATATTTCAGACGACCAGTCTTGAAACGCACGCAATGTTTTAAGTTAGCTGTCTAAATTATTAAACCTTACAATAAGTACAGGGATAACAGTAGTTTACCGATGTTCAAAACTTATAGATTTATTTGGAATATACGAACCAAAAGAGAAAAAATATGGAGGAATTGCATTACTTCAGACGAAGTAAAAATAGGCAGTGCCGACAGGGTGAGCGTCTCTAGCTATACTTATCGTTATAATTTACGTTTTACACCTTTTCCTTTTTAAAAAGGTATGCGTTATTATAAAGTAAATAAAGGCACTAGTCCGGAAATGAAAGATTAGTCTTTTGTACACCCTTGATCTTTTGATTTTATTAACGGAAGTCCTCTATACACAGACATCACCTGTGGATGTCAAGATTGACAAGCAGAAACGCCTGTCAAAGGTGTTCACTTTCGTTATGTGTTCATTCTGATATTTTCTTTTAAACATTGAAATATTATAAAAATAATGATTGTCTTTTGACTTTTTCGTTCATTTCATTTAAATAATTTAAAAATAAGAAGATGTGGTATGATTGCCAATTAGACAACCGTCCACAACAGACCAAATGAAATAACATAGAAATTAACAACTATAGGTCATCGTATGGCCTTCAACAATGAGCAAAACCCATACCGCATAGTCAGCTATAAAGGCCCCGAAATGAAATATGTAAAACAATTGAACCGAGAAAACTAACTGCCTGATTTATGCACAAACAAATACAAATATGATATACAGCAACAAACGACAACCACTGAATTACAGGCTCCTGACGTGGGACAGGCACATACAGAATGTGGCGAGGGGAAACTAGTTGGAAGGCGCCAACACTCCCCTAACCTGGGACAGTGTTGTAACAGTACAACATAAGAACAAACTATAAAAATAAGTTGAAAAGGGTTTCACTCATCAGATCGACACAAAGCAGAAATACATCTAACAAAAACACAGACCGGACATGGCAGGGTACTTATACATCCCAACAACAAAAAAGACACTAAGTACATATCTGACAGTACTCGCAGTTACTGACAGCTAGTTCAAAGCCAATAACAACTAATAAAAAATCTTAGATTTAAGACTAAAAATTTCTTGTTTCTTCTGCTGTCTTTCGTTTAATTAGAGTCATTCAGGTCATAGCTAATCAATTATGATAATTAAAATATATAATGTCACACTGATTACCCTTTCAGAGGTCCTGGAATCAATCCATCTCTAAATGAATAATTCCTTTCGCTCTCTATCGCATGCATTTTATGATACATGTATAGGTAAAATTCAAGAAAAGCGCTTCGGAGGTTTGTTTTCATTTTTTACATCACTTGGTCGATACTGCTGCTGGTGGACTATTGGTTCTCGAGAGCATAATCAGCTCAGTAGTCATTACCTCGGTCCTGATATGATTTATAGCAAACCTTTCGAAAATTGTTCTTTGATAAATCTATAAATTATTAAGAACTATGGTTTCAATCTACCATTTTCTACATAAGAAAATGCCTGTACCAAATCAGGAATATGACAGTAGTTATCCATTCGTTTGATGTGTTTGAGCTTTTGATTTTGCCATTTGATTAGGGACTTTCCTTTTTGAATTTTCCTCGGAGTTCAGTATTTTTGTGATTTTACTTTTCACAACCCCGCAGGAAATGTTTATCTTACATGGATTATGCTATCATTTTTATGTCCCTTTTGGTTACATAGCTCTTCAACTGTTTCTGCTTTTATATAAACTTGGCTTTCAAATATTCGTCTTTGATGAAGGTAAATCGAGAAAAGCGCTTCAGAAGAATGAAATTTATACAGTGATGTTTTCATTTTTTAAAACACCAAAATATAATATTTGTCGAAACAAAATATTTTAATAGCATGCAAAATACATAAAACAGATAACAGGAAATATTAAACATGCTTGTATTGGGTAACAAATATTTATATTTCTTATATCACGAAGTGGTTATTTTTATACAAATATGTACTGCATGAATAAAATAGTAACATCGTCAACTAATTGTTACAGATTTAACAAGCTGGAATATTGTACAACATTGACGAATAAAACTGTGCCCAACATGTATCATCCAGAGCCTTCAGATTCTACTGTTTGTACGAAGGGATACTTGCAAGGTCCTGGTGATTTTCTAAACGAAGTTGGAGTGCCTGAAGGTAACTTTCAAACCATCTGACCAGTGACCTTACTATTTTCCCAATATGTATTTAATTGGTCCGATCATTCGTTGTAGCAGTAGATAGCATAGAAATTATGTCTTACCGCAGTAATTGATGTATGTGTTAGTGACGAAAGTACTTTACTGTGAAATATAATGCTGCAATGTAAGGTGAAGATAAGGCAGTTGAATAGATTAAATAGAGCAGGATGGATCAATCTTTCTAAACAAACTTAATAAGCTTCATCGTGAAGCGTGTTTATTCAAAAATTGTATTCGGATTAAAATCTTTAGCAATATGAATAACAGTGATGTTGGCTAAATAAAACTTGCACTTACTAGGTGATACGTCCTTTGCGACTGTTTGTTAAATTCTTACAAAATCTAATTTCTTTTTTTAAAACAGTACATAGTAATAAAGTTTTATATGAATAGAATAATTAGAATATTTAAAGTCAGGCAAAAGCTCATGGTTTTATTTCAAGCATAAGCAAATGCCGAATGTATGAAATGTATACCTACATGTATCACAAATATATTGAGTCAATACATACCCAGGACAAACTTCTTTCTAATATCTATGGGATATAGTTTTAATTATTAAAAGTCTGAGCGTCTATTACTTTTAATGTAAAAATAAAAAAACTACTGTGTATAGTGACATATGTCGCAGTTTAAGATCTTCAGATACCATAAAAGTCTTCTGATCTGTAATTTTACTATTGGTGTCCTATTCCCGATTGTAAAATTTTGACCTAATGTGGATTCGCAGTGTAGATGAAACATGATTTCCCCTGTCGGCTCGAATGATTGCTCCTTTTAGAGTTCATACAATTCCTTATATTTTTGTTTCTTTTTGATAGATCTCATTAGATTTTAATTGCACACATTTGTATGTTTTTATTTAAAAATTGGGTAAAATTTTCCTCTGTTTTTTTAAATAGATTTATGATATTTTCATATCGGAAAAACTACTGTTGCCTTAATTCATATATATCTGTTTAACATTGGTATAACATTTTCATATGTATATAATCATTTTGAATAAATATCATTACAGATGGTTATCATGAAGAACCTTCATCGACAACTGATGAAATAGAAAATGGAAATGTCATTTATCTACACGGACTTCCGTATGATATACTAAGCAAAGACGAATCGAAACATTTACACATTTATGCAAAATCGGAGACAGGTTTGTGAAATATCGATTCTGTATCTCGCATGGGAAACATGCTTACAAAATCAAACGAAATTTCTCTTTGGTACTATGCTATCTCATTTGATACGTCTTATGCGTGCGTTTTCCGTTTGCCATAATTATCATGAGTAAAATTTCCGCAAAATGACGGACGTTTTCGCATACGTGGTACTACATGTAGCATATGTTTTATTATGTACGTAAACATGTGTTGCCATTTTTCTTGTTTAGTATAACCCTGACATCATATTCCTTCTGTCTCTTGTGGATATAAGGCTCATTTGCAATCATACAACATCTCCTTATTTTAATACTTACAGTTCATCATGTACAATTCCATTCAAACTAAATCTAGAAATTGTATTTTTTAATTTGTAATTATGAGTTCAATAGGTTAAACAGAAACAAATATTAACAAAATAAAGACACATTCCCAGCACTTCTGTGTTGACATGAATTATCATTGATTTGGTCAAAATTATAAATGTATTGTTCATACCAAACTTTAAAGGTTTCGAAATACTCAGGATTTTCTACTCCAGGATTAACTTAACCGTAATTTGCAAAACCTTTCGGTTTGTTGGTCCGCAATGCTCTTCAACTTCATACTTTATTTGACCTTTTAAACGTTTTTTTATTCGAGCGTCACTGATGAGTGGTATCTGGCGTATCCAATTTTTAATCCTGGTCGCTATGATGAGTTCGTTATCATACTCAACTAATTGACAATATAAATTTATTATTGGTATTTATAATGAAAGAAAACTTTTGATTAAGCAAATTCTTTATAGCCCTCTTTTGATCTCTCTTCAAAAATAGCATAACTCTTTATCATGTTTTTATCAGCAGGATAAGATTTCAAATAAAACAATACCCGACGGTATCTGAAAGTAGAAAATCTTAACAATATCAAATGAATATTTTCATAATAGGTTTAGATGTACTAGTTTTGCATCCCTATCAATAGGAAGAAAAGACTTCCGATCTGAAACTTTACCGGTTGAGTCCTATTTCCTATCGCCACAACTTTGAAAGAGTCTGGATTGGGATGGCGGTTGATGCATATAAAGCATGATAACATTAACCACTCGATGAACCCTGCGTACCCTAGTTTGAACTAATGTGATTCCTGTAGGTTATTTTCTCTCTTAGTTGGTGCACACCAAATGGAATAACGAAATTTGTTAATCGATTTACAACGGTTGCCTCTTACTGATATCAAAATCCTTCATAAGACCATCAAAATGTGGCATCGGCCTTGTAGTATTTTATTGAAGGTTATACCATGCCATATAAGGAAGGAAGTGTGTAATCAAAAACTAACCTTACATTTATAAACAACGAGAAGCTACTGGAAAATTGCTTGCCAACATTAAATATTTAAAAAAAAAATTCTCGAAAATAACATACGTACTAAGCATTTACAAGAAAAAAAGATTAAGATAGGGACTTCAAAGGTCAACAATAACTCACTACTTGTTAGAAAACGCAACAATCTACAAACTCCAATGACAGCTACAACTCGGGGCATTGGTGACTTATGCATACATAGTTTAATGGGTTCCTTCGATATAAATAAGTGGTCATGCTTTTCAAATTTTCATGTATTTTGCACACAGAACTGCATATTGTGATAATATTGATATTTTTCCACTGTAGAACTAGGACCAATTCCGAAAGTCGTACCCTTGTATGCAAATGAAATAAAGGCGGCAGAAGATTTCCAAAAGACGACCAAGCACAAACATATATTTTCATCAAAACATAATCGTCAAAGTAAGTTTAACGATTTTTTCATTGCATTATTATATTAACAAAAATGGCGATTAATCCAAGAAGTTGTTTGATAAATCAAGAGATAATCAAAATTTTCAATGGTATTAAGAAACAAAAATACCGAACTTTCAGGTATATTAAATGAAGTAGTAGTCCATAAAACCAGACAAACAAAAACTCACTACTATATCAATGAGCGGAACGACTGGTACAACTGTGTTATTCCTGGCTTTATACAGGCATTTTCCCAAATAAATTGGGGAGGTAAACCTGTTGTTATAATTAGCTAAGCTACAGTTGTAAATAAATTAAACCTGAAGTCAACTACCTTGTATATGACTTCATTTCATTTTGGTTTGTTTTATTTTATAAAATTTTTACATATTTTATTGGTAAAGACGTTCAATATGTCACGGAAACATCATCCCAACATACGACAATTACAGCTGTTGATGTTTTGAAATTATTTTTATTTTTACATAATAAAATTGCATCGTTAAAATATTTTACCATATTAAACTGGTAACGTATTAAAATTATGCAAAATTTAAGTGATAATACAAAGCGGCATTACTCAATTTTACTTTGAGGTTTGTTTAGAAAGCTAAGAAGACGTTTTGGGAATTCAAAAAGATTCATGTTGTAATCCACAACAATTTGCCTTTTAAAATTCAATAACAGTAATATCTGAGCTGCGTCGGATAGAAATCGACCTTATGCAAGTGCACGTATATATATACATGTATAGACTTTGATTGATTTTGGAATAATCAAATACGAAATAAAAGATGAATTTTGGTCTGTTTTGTAGGGTTCTTATATAAATTTTCAAACAGTTAAAGATTTTGCATAGAGATGTTTTCAACTAAAAATAGCTTCAAAAGATGTATTAATATTCATTTGCATAAGGTCGATTTCTATCCGACGCAGCTCATTTGTATTAAACCAAAGATATGTTTTGAAGACAATCGCAAGTTGCTTTCAAAATTACTTTAGTGCCTTTAATTATTTTGATATATTTTGAACGATTAAATATTTTTATTTGATTGACATTGGGCCAACACAAAATTAAATTAATCACAGCTACACAATAATTAACTCTGTATCACCAGCCCAGTAGTCAGCACATCTGTGTTGACATGAATTTTAAATTAACTGTTTACAAAGCTTAGAATTTTTAAAAATATTAAAATGTTCTACCCCAGGAAAAGATTACAATAGCTGTATTTGGCAAAACCTTTCAGAATTTTTGGTCCTCAATACTCTTCAAATTTGTACTTTATGCGTCCTTCATATACACGGATTTTTCTTACGAGTCCTTACGGATCGTCAAATCGTTGTCAAACACAAGCATCCGTAAATGACTCGCTGGTATCCCTAAATAACTAGTCATAGCTAGCAACAACTAGCACACACTCTTAAGGATACGTGGAAGTTGAGGGAAATTTTTTGACATGTCAAAAATCTTCTTACGATTTTCCACAGATTGATTATTCCGTAAATAACCCGTTACAATCTGTAATTATCGCAAACCGCTCGCAACAACACGTAACCATCCGTAAACTGCTCGCAAGTATTGGTAAATGACTCGTTACAATTTTTTTTAGTGATTTGTGACCGTTAGTTTACGATTTGTTTACGGATTCTTTAAGGATTATTACGACTGCTTACGTGTTGCTAACGATTTCATTCAGGTCTTGTTACGATGGCTTTACCGATTGTTACGAGATATAAGAGCACTTTACGTGTAATAACGCGTACTTTTTGAATAGATACGTATACTTTACATTTTCTTACGTATTGTTTACGGTTTGGTGATAGGTATAAAAGCTGCACAATCGTAATGACTCGTAAATACTCGTAACTTCCTCGTTACCAATCTTAAAACACGTAAACAGTCTTTACTAAACACTTAAAAAGCTATGATGATTCCGTAATATACTCGTGACAATCCGTAACATTCTCGTAAAATGTCCCTTAGTTGCTGGTAGTTATTTTTGACAACTCGTAAATACATCGTAATAACTCGTAGTAAGCCGTAATAAACCGTAACAACACTTAGATTGGTCGTCAAAGTAGGCAAATTGTAAAAATCCGTGAATTGGTGTGATCCGTAAGTATTCGTTAGAAGATACATGTATGTGAAGCGGCATTATTGAAGACGAAACGTGCGTCTGGTGTACATAAGTGTTATCCGGGTATCTATGATGGGTTTGTTTGTACCATGTAAATATAGGTTTAATAACAATAATTAAAAACACGTTTCGGCCTACTGGTGTAGTGTTTATTGTATCTATTTTTTAAACAGGAAGCAGGAAAAATTGCCGCTAGACCTTGATTGTGCCTTTTTCCTGTTATTTAACTACTTCAAGTAAATATGAAAATCGCGAAATTAAATCGCCGCAAAGTGATGTAGAAAGGGATAAACGCGAAATAAATTATCAACGAAAATTAGTTGGTTTACAGTAACTGTGAATCTTCCCAATGTGAATTTAGAATCTAAAAATTAAATACAACAACATTCCAACATTCGGTCTTCAACAATAGGCATGCATCAAATATAAAGCTCTAAATTGCCAAGAGTATAGACGAGAAGGGAATAGGTTTAGCAGAGACTATCAAAAACCTGCCATTATTGACAAATTACCCAAAATGACGTAATACATTAAGAGATTTCTGACTTTGGACATGATAGGCACAAAAACATGTGGCGCGGTTAAGCATATTCGAGATATTTGTCCCTTTGTTTGCTTACCGAAATATGAATGAAATGATTTGCAAGATATACGTCAATGAAACAGCAATACAGCAAATATAAACACAGAAAGATACTTTATATTGAGTGTGATAGTTCGACAGGTGAAGGATAATTGCATGTATATTTATAGTCCATCAGAAATTTATCCTGTTATAGCGGTTTGTAATCAGGTTGCAGCAAATATTAAATTATGAAACTATCTTTTAATCTTTAATGTTTAATTTCATTGATTTATAAACAAACGCATTAAAATAATACATGATTAAATATAAATGGATGAATGAAAACAAACAGAATTAATAATTTTAATTTCATGGAGTTCACAAACTGAACGTTGCAAATGCAAAGTCCAACGGTAAAATTGAACTCTTAAGTATTTTTTGTAAGCTATATTTCTATGCCCCAGCCGTATGCGACGGGGATATTAAGTGTTACCATTGACCGTCCGTCTTTCCGTCTTTCCGTCCGTCCGTCCGTCCAATTTTTGTAACAAAGCTTGAGCGTGGACATTCGTGTCCTCAAACACATTCTTCATATTGTTCCTCGGGTGTTTATATTGTATGGATTTCCTAACCCTTCACTGAGCAACTTTTCATTCGAAGAGTAGTCACAAAAAACGCTTTTAACGATACGAATAAAATATACTTGACTAATATAGAACATTGTGCATTTCATTGATTTACTTCTTTACATCCAGATGGAAACATTCGGTTATGGCAGTTTCTTCTATGCCTTCTGACAAATCTAAAATTTAATCCTTCTCATATCAAATGGACCAACCGGAGTACTGGAGAGTTCAAAATCCTGAGAAGTAAAGATATAGCTCAGATGTGGGGAGAAATGAAGAACAACGATGGCATGACGTATGAAAAGATGAGTCGTGCAATGAGGTAAAATATTTAAATATGTATGACAGTTCTAAACTGATTTGTCAAAATTCCAAGTAGCAAAAAATTAAGGATTCCGTACTGTTATTGACCATTTATACAGCATAAGGATGTAAAGTCAACGATGAAGTTAAAAATGAAATGTGCAAACAGTGGATGATATTTAGTTTCCAGTATTTTAAGACGTCTGATTGTCTTGAGTTGATTGTATTTTGACGTTTAATTATAGCTTTTAATATGTGTGAAACGGTGAATGCTACTAGACGAGCAGGAAGTTCTTCCCCGTCTGAAGCAACTTATAACAAGTTTACTATCGGATTTTGATGAGTTCGTGTTTCTCAAAATTAATTTTTCTCTGTGCAGAGTTAAAAGGACAGTTATTTTAAGCGTTGTTTTCTTTTGCTTGGCATCGTGTTGTCTGTCATTCAACTTGTAATGTTACATTGCTTCTGAATTTTTATGTTTTTACTTTTTTTCAAAGATATTTCTCAAACTTATCATAACCACATGTTTACATAATCTAAAAAAAAAGAAGTATTGTGAATGTTTATATCATAAAAAAACTTAGGAACTCATTTGAAATTAAGGAATTATCTCCCTTGAGCATAGCTTTATCACTTGTTCTGGATAAATCTACATTGTGTCGTTTTTGGTCATAACAGCTATTCAACGTTTGTGTAAGATATATTTTGGTTCGAGCTTTATTTGTCGAAATGCGCATCTGGTGCAGTAAAATGTGTACCTTTTAAAGGTATTATAACATCTATAGTAAATGTACGCGTAACACTTCCAATTTAACTTTTCTTTAGTATATGTGATATTTAATTGTGTATACCAAATGCGATAGCTTTGATAATTAACAATTATTGTTATTAAATCGAAATGGTGTCTTTTCAGGAATTATTATAAGGACAGGATTCTGACACAAGTTCCCCAAAGACTTGTGTACAAGTTTGGACCAATGTCTGACGGATGGTAAACATCCACCAAATATATTTATGTATACGTACACTTCATATGTTCATATTCATGGAAGCAAAACATGACATTAAATGTAGAATATTCTTATAAATTTTGATTTTTTTGGTTGACTATTAAGATTGTAGTGTTCTATAGACTGTTGAAAGCCCTGTAGTTTTTTTTGTGTTTTTCCATGTTTTCCCTTTCTCTCTTCGACTTATTAGTTTTGATTGTCTTCCGCCTCTTTTATGTCAATCATTTTGGATTTATATTCCTTGAATGTTTCGTTTCGAAATCACAACAAACAGAAGGCCTCATTTCAGACGATTCAACAAAAATATCTTAAAAAACAATTAGCAATTCAAACTTTTAAAAATAAAACTAAAAGATGTGCGTTTTAGTCAATGAAACAGTCACCAATCAACACAATACAAACAAGTCTAAACACAGTTTCCAACGATAAACGTGCTCAAACCATATGTGAAACTCTGTATTACTCACTATAATTACAAAGCGAACATACAAAGGTAATAATAGTGTTGTTAGGTCTAGTACCTTGAACACATTAACATATAAGTTAGGCCTATTTGGGTATACACAGTTTTAATCAATAGATAACGACATTCATTTGTTGTTTGTTGACCTTTACAGCGATACAAACACGGTGTTAATTTAAAGAGATGTATTAAATAATAGTCAAGATAACCAAATTTCATGAAAATAACCTTCTCCAAAAAAATCTCATAAAACGCTCTTAGCAACAAATTTGGAAAGCCATGGATTTTTAGATACACGTTTACATGTGAAATGTTATAACCATAAAGTTTAAAGACAAAACCGTATAAGATTATAAAAAAGTTTGTTCGAGGACGAAAGAAAGAAAAAAAATATTAACTTGGAGCTGAGGACAGGGCACTCCAAGTTATTTTTATTAAATTATATACTAGTATACGTATGTAAATAAGTTTATGTTGTTGTTGTTTTTCATTTGTTTTTTTTCGCAAGTATCTTGTTTTACTTATATGACAAGAAAGAAATATTATTTTCTTTAACAAAAATACCAAACTCCAAGGTAAATTCAAAGAGGGGGAAGTCCATAAAAACTGACATAATCAATCGTTATCAACCAACGGAACGAATAGAAAACAACTGTAATTTTCCTGACTTTGTGCAGACATTGTCTTAAGAAGAAAAGGTATTTTTTCAAAACTTTTTTTTTTCTTCTCTAAAGATCGTTTAGCTTATCAGAATGTATGTGATAAATGATAAAGCAGTCATTATATAATGGTTGATGGATGGGAACTGTTTGATGAACAGTGGTAATTGTAACATGCAAATTCAGGAAGGGAACATGTTAAATCTACATAAGTTTGAAACATACATGCTTTGTACTTTACTGAAACGTTGAGTTTGAATTGAACTTACTAGTGTACAAGTTAGCCGTTAACTTGGATATATCATCCCACCATGACATATTAGTATGAGTTCAAAGGGATTAGTCTTTTCACTTACTCCTGAATGTCATGAAGCAGCAAGTAACAATTGTTGTAGCTTAATTCATTTGAGGATGTTCTATTTTGGTTTTGTATGATCAATCAAACACCGTTTTTGTGTATCCCATTTTCATACGAAGAAGTTATTCTAGAGCTCTCTCGTGGATTTCTATATTTAGGTATAGTATTATTCTAAGAAAGTATTCCTAATGTCTTTTGCCTAACGGTTCTAATTCATGACACACCACCAATTACGATTGATCACCAGATTCGTTTTTGTGAAGTGATCAAATTGACGGTTGTCATCAGGGAATAGGAACTGCTTACACTTTTCACTGTTCTTCCTAACTGGTTTTGGTGTCAGTGTTTATCAATCCTTATCTTTCTGTTTAGTGTTTTATAGATATAAGAAGATGTGGTATGAGTGCCAATGAGACAACTCTCTATCCAAGTCAAAATTTATAACAGTAAACCATTATAGGTCAAAGTACGGTCTTTAACACGGAGCCTTGGCTCACACCGAACAGCAAGCTATAAAGGGCCCCAAAAATTACTAGTGTAAAACCATTCAAACGGGAAAACCAACGGTCTAATCTATATAAAAAACGAGAAACGAGAAACACTTATGAACCACATCAACAAACGACAACTACTGAACATCAGATTATGAATTGTTTTGTCTGGTTGTGCTTTTTCATTTTCCTTTTGGTCATGTTTTTCCTGTGTTTTTTTGACTATGTTTTTATTGTCCCTTTGGTTAATCCCCCCCTCTTATAACGGAAACGTTTTAATAAAAATCAATACAAACGTTTTCTGTAGGTTTCTGTTTAATCATAATAACCAGTTTAAGCCCGACATATAATGGGTAGTCATAATTCAGTGTCTCACAGTAAGATGTCGTTCCAAATTCATATTTTTGCTCATCGAAAATTGATTTTAGTATCAGATTTTCTTGTTCTGTCTTCAATGTATCCAAAATTCACACTTTGTTTTAACTCAGGTCGAAGAAGAGCATTTAACACGACACGAGTTCGTGTCCATCATTCCACATGATGACCTCAAGATGCTTATTGTATAATAATTGTACAGTACTGTATTGTTCATGCCCTGTATGTGCATTCAATATTTGCCTCAGAACGTTAAAAAGTCGATCAATCATTTTTTTCGCGTTAATCAAGTCACCCCAGATCACCCCTTACTTTAAGTAGACTTCGTGTTGATCTGTCTTTAGTTGTCTATGTTGTATTTTGTATTTTGTTGTTTGTATTTTGGTCGTTTTTCGTTTTGTCTTTGCATTGTCAGTTCGTTTTTGATTTATGATATCACTTGGGTATCTTCTGCCTCTCTTTTATACATCTTTCTACGTAGCTTCATTACTTTTTTTGTATTAGAAAAACACTTTGAATGTATTATTATTTAACACATATGAGATTTTGATCTGACGCATAATGATTATACTTATTTCGTTGTGTGTTTTTTCGTCTTTTCATGTGTTCATCCACCGAGGGAGTTTAACAGGAAATTATTTAGTACTCATCAGAAACAAACGACAAACCTACATACTTAATGTAATTGAAACTTTGTTTGTGGTTGTCAGTTGTTTATTTTTTTTCCCGTTTTTAATATTACTTACAATTATTACTACAAAAAAGGTTCCATCTCCCTAAGGCAAAGTTGACCTTAGATGAATTTGGCAATTTTTTTTAAGTCATCTTTTGTCAACACATCATTGGCTTTTAAATATTTGGAATTGAGCGTTCATGATGAAACTAAATCCAGGAAATGTCTTCGGACGCACGATAAAGTGTTATTTTTCCTATAGGTAGGAATCTGTGTATTTCACTCGCAACTTGTCTAAACTCGAGAACTTGCCATACAGTGTGATAACTGTTTCTCCCTTTTTTACTATAAGTAGTTCTTTCTTATTGTATCTTATTTGTATTGATTCATTGCCTTTTCTTTGCAATGAAAAAAAGAGAATTTTTTACGTTATTTGTTCCTTTGTAAATATACCCCTAAATATTAAACGTAATTAAATCCGTTTAGGGTTGAAATAGTATAACCTGTACTATTCTGCTACTTAGTGTCAAAAGTTTAACATGGATCCCTTTTGTAATCCTACCAAGTCACTCAAAGGATTATCACCATACATATGTCACGTATTCTTTTGTTTCTCACTTTTCATTTTTACTCAATATTTCGTAACCCCTCTGGCGTTATCTATGCTATATAGACTACGCATTAATAAAATTGTTTCGCATCCTCTATATTTCTCAATTAGAGTTAAATATTTTGATATTCTTTTAATTTCTAATATGTTTTCCATAGTCTTACATTCCTTCTAACCGTATGTTTAAAGGAATAAATTTTTTAGTTTTTAAACATATTTGTTGAATATGCATAATATTGATAGATCCTCGAAGTACACACATGAAATAAAAGATAGAAAACGTTTTTGAAAATTATCCAAGCGGAAGAAAGGAAATCAAATTTAATGCATGCTACTAGTAAAACAGTGCATTAAAACAAAATGAACGACGAGGTTTTTGTAAGCAAACGGAAAGTTTGGAATAAGGTCGTGTCGATTGACCGAATGTGCATTAATAGCCTTAAAAACTGTAAAAAAAAAACTACCCAAGGTTAACTTTTCCTGAGGTAGCTGCATCATTTATCTTTAGATCTTTTTATGTAATTCACACCGCACCTTAGGTAAAACAAGATGATTACCTTAATTTTGAAATGTATGATTATAAAAAAAATGTTGAAACAATATTAAAACTACAATCATTAAATTTGTAATTTGGTAAAAGTTTAATCAATATTTGAAAAGAATGACGGTCAAAAGCAAATTTGTTTAGGAACTGTTTCGTTGTATAAATTACTTAGACTAAATTTCCCTTAAAGGTTTAATGCAAAAAGGAAAGCCGTGTTAAAAGAAGATTCATGAATTATGATGGTTAAACTTTGTGTGTTGCTTGCTTAACATACAGTGGCTGAACTATAACAAAATAGATCAATCAGTACTTCAAACTATTGAAATTATTTCCCTGAACATGCATGTGTACAAAGCCATCACATTTCAAAGAGCCGCGATAGACATCCATATGAACCCCTAATAAATTTCTATACTGTCAGAATTGGAAAATCGAGAGGACAATACTAGGGAAAAAAACTGACTAGAAAAAATGCTCAAACAACAAGCAACGAATACGTGGAATTAGACAACAATACTGTAAACTAATTATGAACAATATGATCGCCCATGACTAAATAGCACCCCCCCCCCAAAAACAAAATCACAGAAAACCACCCAACAACAACACGGAATCGACATAAGTTCCTCGGCGGCTGGTATATCCTGCTCCGCTTCTGCATTTTTACCAGAAAACGAAGCCGGAGCCGACAACTTTTCTGTTCAATGGTATACATAAAATATTTTTGTCTTGAAATATTAAGTTTCTATTTACATCTAACAAAACAAATTAAAAGACATTTGACAGTCATAAATTTAATTGTAATCTAATAGGAATTGTTTATACATGAATATTCTTTGTGATTTCTCTTCCAAAATTTATTATTCTTGGTTGGCTATATTCCGT